GCATAAAGAACCATGTTTTCTATCAGATTCTTCACAGCAGTCTTATATTCGGCATTTCGTCTTTCTGTTTCTTGGTTCAAATCCAAAACTATCTCTTTCACAGAGCAAATTTCATTTCCTGCTTCGGTAGTTGTCTGGTCCACTGGAGTTACAGAGCAGCGCCACTTTGTTTTTTCAGAAGATCTCTGAAACAGCTTTCCTGTAGCTACAAGTGCTTTTTTAACAGAAAACCCATCTCTGACTGACTTGCTTGAGTTGCTACCAGGTAGAGGAGTCTCCTCGTTGCTACAACCTTCATTGTTCTCGTTAAAATCGTCGAGGTGTTCTCGAGCGGTCGCGAGACGTCCCAAACCCTCCTCTGGGTCCTGGGACGTCACAACGTATTTGTGGGAGCTCNGTCTTCTGCCTCTCACTTTGAGGTTTTATGCCGCAGATGTTTGAGGCCTGATTTTAATTTGATTCTGTTGACTTTCAGTGATTGACAGACACAAGAGGGTGTTAAAGTTACCATAATAAGCCACTGGCAGGTTTTTATTTTTATTTTTTGCTTTAATTATTGCACATCTTTAGACGTTAAAAAAAGTCTTCTTTGTTTGCATTTATCTGTTTTGTGTTATTGCTGTTAGAAAAGAGATGGGATTATTACAACATGTACCTGTTTTTACAGTGTTTTTCCCATTGGAAAAAACTGAACAAATAAATGTCTTCTGTCCCAGGTCATCTTCCAGATCACCCCTCTGGACGTGACCCAGTGGATGATGGTGCTGAAGATCTCCCTCCCCGTCATCCTGCTGGATGAGCTGCTAAAGTTTGCAGCCAGGAACTACTTGGATCTCGGTAAACGCCACGAGAAGTCAGCCAGCGCCGGCTGTTACCTGTCCACATGCACCAAGGGCATCTCCTGGCCCTTCGTGGCCGTCTCCCTGCCCCTGGTGCTGTGGATCTACAGCACCGACACTAACGTCTCCGCCATCTTGTGGCCCTGACTGACTCCAGTACACCACCCTTCCCTCGCCCCCGTGTGGAGTGGACATTAACACGCACACACACACATTTAACCCCCTTGTATTAACTCTGAACCCCTTCCTGTAAACACTCACACTTGTTCTGACCACTGTCATGTTTGTTGTTTACATTGTCACTGAAACATAGTTTTGGGTGAGGTGGGGGTGGGGGGTTGATTCTGATTTTAATTGTGACTGATAAGACATCTAAATGTATTACTTCCCCCTCTTATTTCTAGCTGTACAGAGAATGTACATACTTTTATATAAACATTTTTAATTTTGGAGGGACGGGGCGACGGGGAGGAGGACTTGTTTTGACGACTGAAGAGGGCAAAGTCTTGACTGGTGGCTCCAGAATAAATTCTTTTAGTTTTTTTTTTTTGACCTGTGTGCATCTTTTTCCATTATTTTCTGCATTAGGCAGAGCACAGCTACCTCAGTGCTGTTATTAAAAC